TATTCACGCAACATACACAGAGACCAATTTTCACTGTGTATGCATTATATGTACATACACATATACATGTACATATATATGTAGATAAAAAAAGGTCTTTCATTTTCTAAAGTTACACTCACTACACTTGCCAGATTTGGAAATAGAGGGATGCTCGCTTCGGACGACACCTACGTACGACTCGATTCGTGTCAAATCCTTGCAAAAACGTGCATGCAGATCTCCCTCGATTTCTTAGATGTAACATATTTCCTATACAATGACTGAGACAGAGAGATTGTTTTTTTTCCTCTGATCGCGACATTCACACGCACAAAACAAGTTTGAGATGCGAAATAAATGTGATATTTTTACTTGGAATAATCATCGATCAACGAGTCACCAAATCTTTTATCGGTGCTTGTTTGCAAACGCGATATTCAATCCCAAATGTGTCTGAGAGAGTAATACAATCTTCATACATGCACAAAATACACAAGTTAATCGCAGATCGGGACGACTTGATGCAAAACGCAAAAAAGGAAATATGTTAAATCTAAATGAAATTTTGGTCGTAAAGTTGGATATGTGTGCAGGTCTTACCATCAAGTCCGTCGAGCATTTCCGGGGGATTATGGTGCTCGGACGATTCAATCCCTTGAACACCATCACTGAGCGCTCCTGCCGTAGCCCCTCCATCTTCTCCTATAAGTCCAACTGGATGACCCTGTGCATAACATGATTATATATTTATAAATAAGCAGTTGGCAAAAATGAAAACTGGTTTATAATTTTATAATATATTTAAAAATACTTTATAATATATTTAAAAAAATAAACACGCTATTATTTTCTCAAAAGACAAAATCTTTATGTCTTATCTTATATCTTTTTTACAACTATATTCTTAATTAATAAATGATTAAATTATTATTCATCAAGCTTTTTGAATCCTCAGACGTTCCTGATATCCTCAGATTCCTGAGATAATTAAATTCAGAATGTTTTAAAACCAACAAATAGTTACAGTAACAACATTTTTAAATATTATAAATGTTATAAATTTTCTACGTTCAACTAAAAAACAACATGTATAAAAAATTATATATGGTGTCAAGTTAAGATAATGATTTTTCAACTCTATGTGTAATATCTATTTAATATCTAATAACTGATATATAATTTTAAATAAAAATAAATAAAAAACGTTTTATAAAAATATTCTATTTAGATAAAATATCAACAAATATTTCTACTTAGATAAAATATATAGCAATATCCAATTACTAGAAAAGGTTAAGTACTTGGTTGAATATAATTCGAAAGAACATTTTTTAAAGAATAGTTGATTTATTCCTTCTCAGAAAGAATCCATCACAGAACATGACTTCAAAGATATTTGCTTTGGCATCTCTTTCTCGCATACGTTGAAAACTCATTAGTACATTACATTGACTATCTAACATTACATGCGATTATAAAGTATATATTTCAGAAATGCAAATTGTGTTTTTCTATAAATTGTTGCTATTCAGGAAATATTTCGGCTTATCATAAAAAATATAATTATAAAAACAAACATGTTTGTAATAACATAAATTGTGTGTATGTGTGTGTATATATATTATATATTATATATTATATATATATATATATATATATATATATATATATATATA